CCTTTTTCTATGTGATTATTATTATTATTATTATCATCATCATCATCATCAAAGAAATTTAAAAAATGAGCAGCCAGACAAGTGATCCTTATCCCCAAAACTGCTTATTCTAAGGAAGCCAGTCCCCCAAATACTCTTATTTTGTTTTTAAATTTAAGTACCAGATGGGAGAATAGGAAAATATTTTTCTCAACTCTCCTAAACAAACACAAGAACACAATAAAACAAAAACACATGAATCACAAATACCAATTGTAACACTTGGAAGTTCAGTGGCAATGGTTTTTTTTTTAAATAGTTTTTCTTATTTATTTAAATGTTGCCAGTTCTCTTAACTTCTAAATTTTACGTTATATCATAGTAATTATTAATGTCACACTAGATAAAACTGTAGAATATGTATTTCTATGTTTTTTGTAACTATATTGCATATTATTCCCTGTTAAATAATGTTTATAATAATAAATTAAACAAAATAATTATAATTGTACAGTTATGTTGATCTCATAATGCTATCACTTCACCAGTTCTGTATCAATATTGCTGAATTATTGTTCCTTCTGCTCAGTATTGATTCTGCTAATAGTTTTTCCAGATTCTACATGCACACAATGTCATGTCTATAACACACTTTCAATTTGGGACAATTTTTTAAAAAGGTTAGACTATGTGACCAGACTCAGATCCCTCTTCTCACTGTCCATGGCAGCCACTGACTTACCCTCAATCTCCTTCATCTGGGTTATGTGGTTTGTGGACATTCCCTAAGGTAAATATACAAATTCGTCTAACTCGTTTCCTAATTGAATCAATTTTTCTTACTTTAATTCCTGTAAAGTTTAGTTTTTCTGATGTGTTTTTAACTTAAGTTTCATTATGGCAACCATGTTGTGATCACTATTGCAGTCTGCACTGAATTAACTTTTTGTACATAATACCCTGACTTATGCGAACCTGGAGTTATGCGATTTTCAAATCTCGTCGATTCGTCTTTTGTTTGTGCGCCACACAACCCTTGATTACTCACTCCCTCCACACTATTGTTCAGCTTACATGTTCGGATGTGTCGCGCGGAATCCACACGTAGCTACAATTTATTTTGTGTTATATATTTCTGTTTGTTATATCTACGGAGACTCGAGAGACTCTACTATGTCATCCAAACGAAGTAGAACTAATTCTTCTGCATCAAACAAAAAAAGAAAAACTTTATCTTTGGAATGTAAAGTTAATATTGGGTATGTTCATAAAGTCGAACGAGTTAAACGGGAATGACGTCATCGTTATTCCTATTTCGTTAGACTTTTCGAACAATTCGTTACTAATGCGTTTAACTCGTTTGACTTTATGAACGTACCCATTATTAAAGACTTCGGTACAAAAATGAAAATTTGTGAATTGGCAAAGAAGTTTCATCTACCGAATTGTCGGTCAGAACAATTATAAAAGGCAAAGAAAAAATTCTCAAAGCTGTGAAAATGCTCAATCTTTAAATTCAAACATCATTTGTAAACATCATGGAATTATCGCTGAGATGGAAACAATGTTAAAATTATGGCGTAATAATCAAGTAAATGTGAAAAATTGTAAAATAATATAGGCCTAATTTTTTATACATATGTATTATCTAAGATTTTATTAAAAATTTTTTTTCTAAATTATTGTTTTCTTTAGTCTCCGGCCCCAATTAAAAATTATTTGTATGTATTTATATGCGAAATTATACCCCGACTTACACAGTCACAGCTCAGTCCCACCTATCGCGTAAGTTCGGGGTATCACTGTATTTTTGACTATGTTTTGTATCAGGAGTTAGTCAAAATGTTATAAGTTTGCCGAGACAGCCGATGTCTCTTTAGAACCTGGGATTTTCCATATACATGCTATAATCTTCTTTTGTGGTATTTGAACTGTGTTACAAATAATATTTTCTACATAGAAATTAGCTAATTTATTTCCTGTCATTCCTCTATTCCAGTCTCTAAGATCCTATTATTTTTGTCCTGCTGACGTCCCAACTTTAGCATTCATAATACCAATTATTAAAATATCCCTTTTGATTTTTATATCAACACATTGTCTAATTTTGCTGTATATTTTGTCAATTATTTTCATCATAATGGTCAGTATGAATACTTGAGTGCAGTATTGAATTGTATTTAATTTTAATTTGGAGACAATTGTTCTACCAAACTTGCCAGTTTCCTTCAATATATTTAGTTATCTGATTTTTAAATATAATACTAATTTCTTTCTCAAGTTCTTTACCACTCAAGTAAATTATTTTGAATCCTTCCTCATTCCTAATATCACCTGATTTTTCCAATATTTATTTATTTATTTCATTAAATTTACAGGAAAAGTCTGAATAGACATTTGATTTCTGCCTCCTTACTAAAACATATATTGTAAAAACAAATAACACTCCTTAAAACAAAAAGAACAAAATAAATAAAATAAAATAAAATCCAGTAACAAATCTTAACAGAGATAAAATGTCTTTTTACATTTCAATTTAAAATCTAAAAGATCAAAATTACAGTATTACGGTTTTGTGATATATGGTAGAAGAAAGATTGTTTGGATAGATTTAAATGATAAAAAGGGGCAAAAATGTAAGTAAATGAGCAAAGTTTTCTTGATGGAATATAAAATAAAAGCAATCTTGATAAATAAGACCATTAAAATATTTGTAATATATTAACCAATCAAAATATTTAATCCTCTTGAATAAAGATGGGAAGCACAGGCAAATTCTGGCAATATTAGAGTCAATAGTAAAAGGCAGATTACATATTTTGTTAAACTTGAGGTATATCTTAATAATAGCAGTAGTAATCTTATGTAAAAGGGAAGGTGCAGCTATTGACCAGATGGGCAATCCATAATCAATGAAAGATTGAAAATTAGCATAAAAAAATGGCCCGTAATGCTCATATATTTCTGAAATTCCAAGGAAGCCATTAAGCCATTAATTCTTAAACATTTGCTGATTTTCTTTCTGAAAAACAAGATTGTACATTCCAAGTTTAAAGCCTTTTGTAAAGAGGATTTCCAAGTTATACTCTTTTCTTTAGCTCCAAAGTTTCCCAAAGGATTTGATTCTGGGACATCATACCGATATAAAGCAGATATCTATTCTACTGTCAATTTTCGGATAAATAAATATGGTGGTTTCTGTGCTGTGGAATATGTCTGCATCTTAAAATCAAAACATCCTACATTGATAATGTGTCAGGTTCCAAAACTGCATGGAGATGAGATTAAGTAAATTTACTAGACCTGAGCCTGCCAGACTTCACCAAAATTTGCAATAAACTCAAAACACGAGCAAATTTGATATATTACCTCAGGTAAAATACCAGTTCTATCAGGATTTCTGACTTGCCCAATGCAAAAATTCTAAACAGCCTTTGCCCTCCCACTTTAATTAGAATCATTAAATTTTATATTCATAATGTTTATTATATATTAATATAAAAATACAGTAGCCCCTTGTTATATTGTGCTTGTCAGGAGACAAAGAAAAAGTGCAATACTGTATAACTGAGTACTAAAAATTCTGGGCTTCTACTAAACAGAAATTCATGCTATGGAATCTCTATCCTCTATTCTTTCATCAGCAAGGATTTCTGATATAAAATAAGCTTATTTTTGCAATACTGAATTTTATTCATGGTTATATCATATTAATTGATGTTTACATAAACATCAGTACCATGAATGCCCATTTAGCATTATTGTTTCTTTAACAATGATAATTAAAGACAAATACTGTCAAATATAAAAACATAATATCAGTTGTAATTTTATTATATGGTACTATATTTCATAATAAATCACTTATTAAAAATTCACGTAATTTATATTTTCCAATAAAAATTATAGATACAATAATTGAAAATTAAAAAAGAAAAATATTGAACATCAAAACTTATAAAATTAAAAAGAGTAAAAATTCTCTAAAAAGTAAAATAGTTACTACTATATAAAAATTTTAGAACTTTCTGTTCAGAAATAAACAAATCTTTTCCTTACACATTACCCAGTGAATTTTAAATTTCATACCTTTATGTGAATTTACACAATACCATCAATTCACATAAACGTGTGAAATTTAAAATTCACAGAAACTTGTAAATGTAGAGACAGTAGGTAAAACCAATAAATAACTTTTAATATCAAAAAGAAACAAAATAAAATAATTGATTTGTCCACCTGTTTTGCATATATAGATCTTGACTAGTGTTACCACCCTTCCAGTTTTCACCCGGACAGTCCAGGAATTAACTCACTGTCTGGGTGAACTATTAATTTTGTCCCGGAATTTCATAGGAATTGTGAAATTATGATGAAACAAAGTTCTTGCAAATATTGTTACAAATTTATACTATTTTAACAGCGAAAGAACTCAGACACTGAAACCCATCTGCAATTCTGCCATGTTAGTCTGTTTACATCGACATGTGGCGCACAAACCCTGTTGACCTTTTTATTTTTATTACTTTTTTTTTTTTGGTTTATACGATAGTACATGTCACAAATAGAACTAAGTTATCTGTACTCATTCTTTCTTAATTTAGGTTACTTACGTTACTCCTATGCAAGTCCCTAGTCCCTAACTGTAACTGATTTAGAACCGGCATGCACGTTATTCTTCGCATTCTAAAATGACATTGCACATGCATCAGGAACTTCTGTTCAAACAAACCTGATGTGCTATCCAGGTCAGCGATTTTCAAAAGATGGCAACACTAATCTTGATCAATTTATTGTTTCATCTTCAGTTAGTTTCAAAGACAATGTTAGAAATAAAATACCATATTTCATTGCATAAAGAAATTCAATGGCAACAGATAATTTAAAATTTATTGATTCAAGTGCTTTTAAAATTTAAGGACCAAAAAAATGTGTGATATATCCAAATCCACAATATAATGAAAGGCTACTGTAATTTAAATATGACAGAAATTTAAAAAACTATTATAAATTATAATTACCACTCATTCCAGGATACATGATGTAAGTGGCAGTAGTGCCCAGACTAATACATACTAATCCAGCAATTGGATTCAGAGGTGACATTCCAAATGCAAGTATATACAAAACATGAGCTATTGCAAATGATAACATTCCCCAAATAAAGTAGCATGGCCAAATTAGAAGGAGATCTCCAAAACAAGAAAATATTAATCCAGTTAAAATTCTTCTAGAGTATGTATGTTTTTCATCTAGACTCATTCCATGTAGAATAACAAATATACATAACCATCCAACCGGTAAGCATTTGATAAGACAAGCAAACCAGGATGGATTATCACCAGGAATGGCTAATACAAAATACACAGCAACAGTCTTGAAGAATGGCACTAATTTTGGTCCAACACTTTTTAACTGAAATTGAAAAAAGTTGAAGTTTTATATAATGAAATAATTAATTCATTATTTTATTATTATTATTTAAAAATAATAACAATATTTTAAGACCATTAAAAACCATCAATTACTATTGAAATTGTTATAGCCTTTTATTGTTAAAGCTGTTTTTAATATCTATAAATCAGTTAATTTTCAGTTCAATAATCATCAGTTGAGACATTCTAAGAAACAAGTTATTGCTTATTATTGCAAGTATTTGGGAAATATTCTGTCTACATTAGTTATACACTTTTATAAACTAAAAAAAATACATTTATATGCTTTAAACTCATCTAATTTTTTGTGTATATTTTAATGATTTTTTTAAACTTCTTTATAAACTTTGTGAGAAGGATATTTTTATGAAAAGGTTTTTGTTAGACAACTACGAAAAACAAATATGTGTAGTAGATGTTAAAAACTCAATTTATTTTCATATGATATAACTATGTACTGGTTCAGTAAAGGATGCCAACTCTAAGCATTCTGGCAGTAACCCTAAACCCAATTGTTGGCAGAATAGTTACAAAAATAAAAATAGCCATGTCACACTAATCCAATACAATAAACACAAATAATTATTACAATAACAATTTTCCTAAAACTAATCCTTAATACTACATTCACTCTAATAAAAGAAAATTGAAAATAGAGATGAGAAGTAGAAAAGATGTGGATAGGATAGGAAAGAATACCCAGGTCATTCAGTTACCATGAGGGCCATGTGTGAGCTTCTTAGACCAAAAAAATACTTGTTCCTATATTCCTTTCTGTTGGTTCTTGAGGGTTTTTGAATAGTTGATTCCAACAGCCGGTCACACATTTGGACTCTTCAAGTGAAAACGCTGGCTCTAACATGCTAACTTTGGTGCTGGAATTTTGAAGTTCTAGGTGCATCCATATCTATGGCACTGGACACTGCAGTCTTTCTCCTTACCAACCCAAAAGTGACCTTCCTTTGCTTCTGTTGTGAATTGCGAGAATTTTGCCATATAGTGCTCCTTTTGGTCATTGTTTAATTTTAAAAATAAGAATTTGGAATGCTAGAGTTTTGGAATGTTTGAAGTTTGTTCTGTTCTGTAAATGTTTCGTTGAAAATAAATGTTCATTGTGCCTTTTTCCATTAGCTTCCTATGTCCTCAGGTAATCTCGCATATGATGATGGTGAATTCTAGGAAGTGACCTTCACTCCAAGAAGAAATAATTATTTAAGATTAAAAATTTCTAGAAGGTAAAAAGAACAAAGAGCAGAGAGCAGGAAAAATTGTCAGAAGAACAAAAGGTCAACAAGAAGTTGTGGCTGTCCACTAATATGGTGGACAGTCACAACTTCTTGAAATTTTCTTTACATGATTAAATAAAAATAAGTAAAAAATTTCAAAATCTAATAAACATAAATAAAAGAAGTTTGTAGATATCTCAAGTTAAATTTTACATTTCTTATATTAAAGTTTGGCAGCATTGAAGTCCACATATCCTTATGAACTGTGATAGATAAAGCATTTGTCAGAGAAATGTACTACTAAAAGTCAGAGATTGTTTACTTGTAATTAAATACAGAAAAAAATGGCACAAAATACCGCCACATCAATGACTAAACCTAACATTCATCCAGCCATGAATGACAACCTATATGAACTGATTCTGGAGTTGGATGAAATTAGTAATGACAGTGCACATTTCTTAGATATATCTTTCAATGGTAAGAGTTTTGATACTAAGGACTATTATAAACCAGACTTCACTTGTATATATACAGTGGTAATATTCAAAATATTTAACAAAGGGTTCGCTAACAGAAAATTTTTCCTTAACAATTTTTTTTCGCTCAAATGGTGCATTAGCAACATTAGCACAAAAACTGACCTTAAGATACCCATATAAATAAAAAAGGGTTAATATTACCTTAGGTTCCAAGATGGCCATGCTTCCGACTGTTTGTGGTTCAGACGGACTCCTCCCAGAGGGGAGCCGCCGGCAGGCCGCTGAGTGCCAAACATCACTAGTTATTTATTCACGGTAGTTCTTGAACAAAATAAAAAAATAAAGTCTACTAAAAATGTATATAATCTAATGGAAACGAAACGAACTTAACAGTAGCGCCGCCATCTTGGAACCTAAGGTAACATTAACCTAAACAGAATATATATTACACACGATGATAAAACTGACATAACTATGTGGTAAGTCACAAACACTGACAAACAAAATGGAAGTTTTCATTAGAAATAAATACAAAACTTTTTCTTGCAATATATCTAATAATAGAAGGGTAAGATTTAACCTCCGAATGAGGGGGTCGCCACCCCCCAAAGGGTAGCCTGACATGTGTTCCGCAGCCATCTCGTATTTTCTCACATGCGTGGGATTGTGGGATCTATCTTATGACTGGATCTAGTCTCAAGAACTCTCTTGAGTTGATCGTGATTGAGTCGATCATTTCAGTTGAGATTGAAATGGTTGAGGGAGGTCGCACCAAGGCGAAAGGGATATAAGGCTCTAGTTTATTAGTGTTACAGAGTATAATACATATATTTTAATATATTTTTTAAAAGAAACAAAACCACTGAGAAATGTTACGTGTGTTTAACAAGGTTCGGAAAACTTTGAAAATGTTAACAACGGGTTCAGCTGAATCTGTGCAAACCCGCTGAATATCACCACTGTATATATATACCAGCCAACTCCAACAATCTTTTTAACTACAACACCCTTTAAAGCCATTACAAAAACAGTCTACACTCATTGTAATAGAATGAAGGACATAAAAGCAAAGCCAAGCAATTGCAAATATAGCTACAATGCAATAGCTACCCAAAGGCTGAGTCTATAAGTTAGCCCATAGACAGGAAGCAAGAGTAATACAACATGGCAGTGCACTGAGAGGTGCTCACATTGATATTGCAGCACTACAAGAATCTATTTCCCACTGTAAGATTGTGACTTATGATTGTCACATGCATACTATATATAAGGAAATTGCATCGCATATGTGTACATGATTAACTTAAAGACATACTTCCATGTTTAAGCTTCTTAGAAATGAGAAGGATCCAAGTGATTTCAGCACAGTGCCAGATGTTTATAAAATACAGTCGGCCCCCCTATAACATTGCTGATTATTCTGTTTTATATGAATTCCATGTTGTACGAGTCACTTAGATTTTACAAATACGTGTGCTGGGCTGTGAACAGCTCACGTATTTGTAAAATCTAAGTGACTCATACAACATGGAATTCATATAAAACAGAATAATCAACAGTGTTATAGGGGTTCGACTGTACCTCTAAGGCAGGGGTCTCCAAAGTGGTCAATACCGACCACAGGGGTCAATATGACATTGAGAGGGGTTGATTTGGGCTTAGATGTCAATCGGGAATCAATGGAAAAAAGTTAATTAAAAATTACTAATATAATAAATAACTAAATATTTTCTGTAGAAGTTGAAAACATCAAATGTAACTGTTAAAATACTAAAACATTACTGTCTATTGGTGTTAAAACACTTTTTATTAACACAAGCACTTTCAACATTTCCATAATGTCATCCTCAGGTAAAAGAATACAGCTTTAGAACAATTCAATTTTTAGAAAAAGGAGCACTACATATTTAAAATGAAAACTGTATTTTGGAATACAATGTTAAATAAATTTAAACTACAACAATAACATGCACATAGAGATAAATCTGCATAGAAAATAATAAAAATTACATAAAACAAAATGATAAAGGGAGATAACATAAGTGTTAAATGCTCAAATTTTTAAAAAGCAATACCCAAATTCCTAGAATATTCAATGTAGATGTATTACATAGTTCCATCTTTTCAATAAATACTGACTCCCAGATAAAAGTAACTTTTTTGTCACCAGAATGCAAAAGTAATGAAGTCTTACTCCATTTCAGGATACAATTCTTTTCTACCACACTTCTTGAAAGTTCAGTAGTGCACCTGTTGTTATGGATCTTGCTCTGGTGTTCAGTAAGACAGATTTGTAATTTTCTTGTTCCAGCAACCACTTGTTTGAGATGACATGTCAAGTTCAAGTTGCAGTATCTCTAACTCCTCGTATCTTTGGAATTTGGTGAGAGTGCTGTGGAGCTTGATATGTGAACTACCATTGCTCCAGGTGGAGCTAACAAAAATTATAAAAAGGTAATTCAAACACATGTCCATACCTTTTTGTTCTGTGCTTCATCAGTTACGAACCATTCAATCTCAACCAAGCATCGACCAATAGTTTCTGTCCAGCATTCTATCTATAAGATGATTAATTATATTACGATAATTATGACCATTACGATAATTATCCCAGAGAAATCTAATCATGGCTTCTTAGAAAGTAATCTAAGATTAAGTAAGAATGCCAAATTTCAACGTAAAATTCCAAAAATGCATAGTATGGGCATTAAAGGATGAATTAATTAAAACAGTTTATTCTGTTATTAATCCACAACCATAAATCTATGTTGTTTTGAAGAAATAAAAAGCCATTATTTATTATTCATTAACAAATCCTGTATAATCCATGTACAGTACAAAGTATATATTTACTAGGAGATGAGCTTGGCATTGCTCAGGCAAAAAGTAATGATAGCAAATATTAAGTTTATTATTTTATAGCTGATCTTACCCATTTTCACCAGATGCAAGAATTAGGTTCCCATCTTCTGAGACTAATTAGAGATTTTTAGATGGATCTAAAAATATATTCAATTTCCTGCAAAAACTGCATTTAAAATAATACAGTAGAACAGAGTTCTTCAGGATAATCCTTAACCACATCTCTCTCTCCACACAGAGGTGAATTCTGAAAAATATCTTCTTAGTGTACATTTTCATGACATACCCTGTGTACCAGTTTTCAACTCCTAACCATTTGAGCTCTGTGCTTATCATCATCATCATCAATTTTATCATCATTAACCCATCTTGATTATATATATAGTGGTAATAT